TGTTTCTGGTAAAACCGACCTACCGTCAGCCAGCTAGCTCCGGTCCCCGCCATGTCTATCCTGTTTCTATCCCTAATACCAAGTCTATGACATGCTACGCCCTAGTATCTTGTGTGCCAACCCCCAAATGTTGTGGTACTGCTTGCTTTGGTTAGGTTCAATGTTGAACCACAACTTCTATACAACGAAAGGAGACTGCGACCACACAAAAGGCCACACCATCTTGATCTTCATACCTTCGATTAAAATGTTTTATTTGGATATCCTATGCTTTGCCTAAATGTTTGTTTAAAAGTTAAGTTCAGTGGCTGTGGATGACATGTTAAGAGGCCGCAGATGAAGCGTGAAACGGATGCAATTGTTTCAGACGAAATGAAAGGTAACAGTCACATCGGTTTCCCGACTTCCTAGAAGCTGTGGTTGTGTGGCAAAGTTATGACTTGACGAGAAAGAATTATTTTCGAATATCGCTGAGGATGCTATCCTGAATATCAAGGCCATTTTGGTCCGCGAAATGCAATAATAACATTGTGACGTTTTCTCATTTCAATTCACATTCCTACATCATACTAGGTGAATTCAGATGATAATACCGCTTATTCGACCCTTGGTGATACTCTCTAGACCTAGTCACTACGTATAAATATCCGATTATTAAACTTTTTTATAAGGAACATACCCAAAGCACCTCATCTTCATCAGCGAGCGCTTCCGCAAGACCTCTACGTAATCCACCCTTATTGCCATCCATTGCCACCTTAGACGAATATCTTGGTCTGCTTTGACTTGACCTCCACGGCCTTCGATGGCTTGACGGCCGTGGCGTCGTGTCCGTGTGTTGGCTGACGACCAATGTGGATGAAGAAGATGCGTTAGATTCGGGCGACATTACTTCATTTTCCAGCCGGCCATCTAACAACCCCAAGGTTCTTATCTCTAGTTTATCTCCTTCCTCATCCCGGTCCTCTTGTTTTTCTTCATCTTCCCCAACAGTCTCGTCTTCATCGAGGTCTTCGTCATATACGTCAGAGTCTTTGCACTCGACTCGTCTTCGTTCTACCATGCCTCCTTCTCCAGTTGATCGCGATTCCCACTGATCTATAGATAATAGCTAAATGGGAAAAAAAAAGAAAGGAATGAAATATATTATTTGATATGAAGTACGCCATAAAATCAGTATGGGTATATTATAGTATCTGAGTGAAATAAAATAACAAAAAAGTTTCCTGTCACTATTTCTATAGAGAAATCAAGCGAATCACAATATTAGACATTCTCAGAAACTGGGCTCAAAGTAAACTCGATAAGAAAATCGGGGCTTCGGAGTATTATTTGGAGCTTGCTTATGGCATTACTGTCCATTTAAAAGTAAAAGTTGGTTGGAAGGAATTAGTGTAATGATATTACCGAAAACCGAACGGGAAATGCCACAAAATGAAGTCTGTTGGATTGTGCAAAGAAGTCCACGGCTCACTGTATTTCAAAATCTATAAATCTGTGCTCAGCTTTCGCCTGCATAGTAACAGCCATCATCAGAACAGGAATCCAAACTTTACTAAATAGCATCATAACATACTAAACCGACTTTAACTAAAGTCAACCTTTTTATATACCAAAACTTACGATCTTAATGAAGCGTCCAGAAATATAATCAGTGGCAGCAATTTCTTTACATAAAGAAACTGGCGTACGATCCTCTAATGTTGATTCATATTTGGGTTTGTGCTATTGCCTATTATGTGTATGTAATGTTCATTTAATAAGAGGTGGGATAGCCCTAGCTAGACTCGAGGCTAATCCAGCCTCTTTCTCTTGCCTATTGGCTGTGCCTGTTTTCCATCTCTCTCTCTCTCTCTCTCTCTCTAAGTCTATCAAACAGCCATACATAGCTCTCATTAAATTTCCTGCACTGGTTCTTCTTATTCAGGATGCAGGCTATTTTGATAATTTATATAGACCATAGGATCTTACGCTTTAACGCAAAGTCCCCGTAATTATCAAAACGTTGAATTTTTGGCCTTTCTTCGAGTTTCCTGTGTTGATCATGTGCTCAGCGAGCTCAGACTTTTGGACCTATAGACCTTTATAAGAAGTTTTGTGTTCACACGATCTCTTCTGGATGGGTGGGCAGGTCTCCTCTACATAGGCGTTACCACATAAGCCTAAGACCTTTTAACAGCCTGATCTAAAAAGGGTTTCGAAAATTATCAAAAATGAGACACGACTGAATAAAGTGTTGATTACTCGTTATGCCTTATTCTGATTCACTTCCCCACTGGGCCATCCAACCTTTTGGCAAGTTTACATGAATGCAAAAACAGATTGATGCTGGCATACCTTTCACTTCGTTTGAGAAGGCGGGTGGAACCCAGCTTCTCTTCATGTGCAAAAACATGAACCGAGTAGAATGGTTTATCTGTCTATCTGGTCTCAAATAGCAGGCTCCCTTTATCTTGTAATGAATAAAGAATATCAATCTACCGATTTCCTGGTCCCTATAGCTCACGTCTGCTAGACGCAGATTTCTTAGTATCACTGATTTCAAAACTCCTGCTTTAGTCCTGTATGCCTGAGTTAATAAGAAATTAATAAGAAAATCCTTTTGTGTTGGTTTCCTACATCCGTTTATAACCAACTTATTAACTTTTCTCGCTAATGCATTCAGATAAGACAATTCATTCGCCTTTTCAAACTAAATTGTAAATTTAGGTTTGCCATCTATTGTATTTGTTAGCTCAAGGAATTTACCTGGTTTATCCTTGCTCTGTTGCCAAACAGCAAAGTAGTCGTCCATATATCTGACTATTAACTTTGATACGAAGAAAAGTTGGGTTTCGAGGAATCTCTTGTTTCATAATTGTTGGGATTACTTCCATTTCGAGT